ATAACTACAGAGCAACTCCACTTTAGAGTTTCCAGTGTTACCCTCCCATAGTGACTGGATGAGAGACAGCCATGGGAGATACCCAAAGAGATAGCCAGGCCAGGGAAGACAAAGGCCGATCCTTCCACAGAGAGAAATCAGGCATGGCTTGTGCGACTTTTAATGGAGGTTGGATTTGAAAGTGTTGACATTAAGTCCAACAGTCTGCTTGAATCCATGGCATGCAGGCTACAACCAGCAGAGACCACACAGCTGACTGCTTTTCCTACCTACCAAAGTCAGCAAGGACATACTTTAATTGGAATGGATACCACAGTCCTGAATGTATAAACAGAAAGGCCCTGGGGCAGGAAGGGCACCTCACAAACCCACAAGCTGTAAAGCTAGAAGAAAATCTTGACTTCCTGGACTCCAGGAAGACACAACTTACTACAAAACCCAGAGAAATTCTTTATTTTATTAAACCCAATTATTTTTTCTTTTTCTTTCTTTTAGTTTAAGGGTTACTCTCTTTTCTTTCTACTTTACTCCTTTTCACTTCTTCTTCTTCTTTTTTTTTTTTTTGGTACTGGGGATTGAACTCAGGTCCTTGTGCTTATGAGGCAGACAGCAGAACCACTGAGCTTAATCCCCAGCCCCTTTTCACTTCTTTCCCTACATATTTTCCTCTTTTCTATTTTTTTCTTTTTGTTCTTTTTCTGTTACTGTTATCTAATACTATTAATCTCCTTTTACTCCTCAATAGGATCTCTGTCTCACTTTTCTCTCCCCCTTTTCATGTTCCATTAATATTTCAAATGTTATTTTTCTAATTCTCTAGGTCCCCACCCTCTCTATCTTTATTAGTATAACCATTAAGTTTATGAATCTTTAGATAGTTAACTCTATGCTATTAATGTTGAATATTATTCTATTCTTAGTGATGGTAAAGTGGTTCCATTTAGAATATTCTTAGTTGTTTATACTGTAATTATAGATCTATTTTATATGGGTAAGGATGGTACATTATTGGTTCTTAGGACATATCAATATCCAGTTTGTCTTTGATGTGATTACTGTTACTGATTTTATTACTATAGCCCAAATGACACAGTTATTGCTATCAATTAGTTTTCTCTGTATTCCAGCATCTAGATTGTTTTGGTGTCATTAACAATACCATGGCCCAAACCTGGAGAACTGCATACTAAGCCATATATATTATAGCTCCCCTTCCAAATAAATGGAGGTGCTGAGATTGTGGGACAAAGGCAAAGTTCTACAGTTAACTATGCCCAGAGAGCACACTGGAAAGCAGACACTAGCTAAAGAGATCTCTATGCTTGCAACAAAGTCTTCCAGTATGAACACCTTGCAAGCCTCAATACACACACACACACACACACACACCAAACAAAAAATAAAAGAAATATGAAAGGACAAGGGAACAAAATCCCTCCTAAAACTTTCAATTCCTCCCCCAAAGCTGATCTACATGACATCAAGGGTGAGAAAACCAAAAGCCATACAGCTTACTATTTTAAAAAATAATGTGGGACATTAAAAAAAAAAAAGACAGATCAATAAGTAGTTTGAAGAGTTCAAAGAAGATATAACTAAACACGTAAGGGACCTAATAGAATAATCAGTGAATATACAGAAGACAGTAATAAAAAACTCATATACAAATATAACACAATAGCAATCAAAACACCAACAACATCCTTCATGAACTAGATAAAACAATCCTAAAATTCATATGGAACCAGAAGAGACCCAGAGAAGCAACAGCAATCTGGTTAACAAGAGGCATCATAATCCTGGATTTGAAGTCATCACAAACCTTGGATTTGAACAAAGCTACAGTGATAAAAACAGCATGGTACTGGTATAAAAACAGATGAGTATCAATGGAAGAGAACAGAGGGTACAGAAATAACCCTAGGCAAATCACCTATTTAATCTTTGGTAAATAGGTAAAAAACATACACTAGAGCAGGGCGTGGTGGCACATGCCTGTAATCCCAGCACTCAGGAGGCTGAGGCAGGAGGATTGCTGTGAGTTCAAGACCAGCCTGGGCTACATAGTGAGTTCCAGGTCAATCTCAAATACATAGTGAGACCGTGTCTCATAAAAAAAAAAAAAAAAAAAAAAAAAAAAAAAAAAGAATGTAGACTCATGTATCCTATCATGTACCAAACTAAAATCAAAATAGATTAAAGATCTAAAACAGAAACATACTGCCAGAAGATAAAATGGTAAAACTTGAAGTCAGAAGCATAGGCAAGCTTTTTCTAAATAGAATCATAATGGCAACAAGAAATAGTATAAAGAATCCGCAAACGGTATCATACCAAATTAAAAGCTTTTGCACAGCAAAAGAAACAACCAACAGAGTGAAAAGACAATCTGCAGAATGTGAAAAAAAAAATTGTCAGTTATTCCTCAGAGGCCTAGTATCTAATATATACAAAGAACTAAAAAAAAAAATCAGACCCCCCTAAAAATAAATGACCCAATCAAAAAATAGGCAACAGAAATGAACAAAGAACAGATAAAGAAGTACAAAGGGCCAATAATTATATGAAAAAAATTTTAGTATTATGGGCCATTAGAGAAACGTAATTTAAAACAACACCGAGATTCCATCTTATTCCAGGAAAAATGACCATCATCAAGAAATCAAAAAAATAAATTCTGGCAACCCTCCTACATTGTTGGTAAGAATGTAAACTAGTACAAATGCTATGAACATTATCATTGAGATTGTTCAAAAAAGTAAAACTACATTCCATTTGAGGCAACTATTTCTCTGCTAGTATCTTCCAGAAAGAGTTAAAGATATCATAGTATAGTGATATATGCATGCCCATGTTTATAGCAACACAACTCATAACAGCTAAATCTTGGAAATACCCTGCCTATCAAAAGATGAATGGATAAAGAAAATGAAGCAGTACTCTGCCATAAGGAAAAATAAACCAGTCATTTGTAGGAAAATGAATGCATCCTGAGAATATAATTTTTGTGGGGGTTTTTTTGTTTTTGTTTTTGTTTTTTTGTTTTTGAGATAGGGTCTTAGTATATAGTTCAGTCTATTTTTGAACTCACTATATAGACCAAGCTAGTCCTGCCTCATCCTCCGAAGTGCTGGGATTATAGGTGTGCACCTCCACACTCAGCTAGAAGCCATAATTTTAACTGAAATAAATCAGACACATAAGCTTAAATATCACAGTTTCTCTTATATGAGAAAACTAAAATTTAAATAAAGAGCAAAATAAAAAGTAGTAAGAAATAAGGAGATGGATCTTTTTGAAAGAAAAGATCTTTCTTCTTTTGGAAGAAGACCAAGAAATGGATGGAGGGAGAGAAGGAGGGGAGGGAAAGAGGATAAAAAAAATAGAGATGTGTTATGTACATGTACCAACTCCCCACAATAAATGTAATCATTATGTACTGTAAATATACTTACAAAAAATTTTAAAACATTCCAGCAGAAGGTGTCCATGCCATTTAGAATAAAATACAAAATCCTCTTTATGAACAAAGAAAAATCTTTGATATAAAAAAGAAAAAGCAATAATTGCAGAAAGATTAATTATTTTCACATCATTATCTCATACTTGATCGTCTATTTCACTAAAGAAAATGTTTCACAGCCCAGATGCCCATCAACTGGAGACTGGATAAAGAAGATGTAGTTTGTTTGTTTGTTTGTTTGTTTTATAAAATGAAGTACCACTCAGCCATAAAGAATGAGAACTACTGACATTTATAGCTAAGTGGATGCATATTAAGGCTAAACTCTTAAGTGAAACACATAGGACACACATGTGTAAATACCAAATCGTTTCTCTGGTGTGAAACAAAGTATAAATAAGGATCAAAATGTATAATTGAAAAAAAATGTATAACTGGTACTGTGAAGTAGGAAGAAAATGTGTAAAGGAGTAGGGGAAGTAACAGGCATAGGGAAAAGGAAAGAAGGGAGCAGAAAAAAATATGAGAAATGGAAAAAATGGAAACAAAGTCTTTGTAAGTAGGGAAGGGTGGAGGGGGTGAAGGGAGGGCAGGGGAATGGGGAAAAAATAAGAACCAAGATACATCATGTAAAGATACAAGATTCTAATGATGAATGTAACTGTATTATATACCTAAAATGTACCAATAAACAATGGATTTAAAAAATTTAAAATCAATGATAAAAAAGAACATGTTTCAGACTCTATTAAGGTTACAAATATATTAAAAATATCTATAGTAATGGGGTTATCTTTATACTTCTAAATAACATTTATATCCCATCAAAACCTTGATTCCCAGCCTTTGATAATTAAAGGTTGGAGACATAGCTTGGACAACCAGTAAATAAATGATTTTCAAGGACATTTAAATTTTTCATTATCTTCCCAGAAGTCCTTATCACATATGACAGAGATCTGCGACTATTTCTCCAGTGAAATCTAGGCAAATCTTTAGAAACAGATTCAATATAAATGGTAATTTCTAATATTTAAATTTTATATCATAAAAATGACAATACCATATCAAATTATTTTGAATTTCATGTAAGCTATTATGTTTATTGCTCTGACTTTAATATTAAGTAGCAGAATATAAAATTCTCCCATCACTGTATTTACCAAATATTCAATTTTTCTAATATTTACTCTTACTCAATAAACATTTATCCAGAGCTTCCATGAACCTGTGTTATACACGCTGAAATGCAATCAACCAAACAGCCATGTACTATCTAAACTGACTTAACTGCTACAGCTTTCCTAGAACAGATTTGTATCACCATTTTTTCAAAGTGTCTTTATGTTTTTGTAAATATATTCATTCTGATAACCTTCTGAAAATTCTATTTATGGTTCTGATCTCTTGTAAGAAACTTATAAATTATTCTTTAAGACACAAATATGCTTGCCTGTCATCAAATTTGTTTTGTTTTTGTATAGCAACATCAACATATCAAAGAAAGCACAAATTACTTTAAATATCTAATATTTACCTGAAATAGGAATAGTCTGTGAAACTGATAACTGCACATCTCCTGTTCCTGGTGGCATGTCAACAACTAAATAGTCCAGTTGTCCCCAGTCTACCTAAAAATCAAGGTGACACAAAGAAAATAACTGTATAACAATCACAGTGAATAGTGATGTGAAAAAAATTACTGTGTTAATAACAAATCTAAAATGATAACTACCATGAGACATCACCAGGTGCCTGGCACTAAGGGGCTGAGGGCTAAGGATACAGGAATGAGTGTCAGCTACTGTGGTATTAGATCTTTGAATGATAAGCTTAAACTGAGACAGATAGAGAGCCCAACGCTTCCTCAAAGCTACTTTTATCCCATGGCTGCCCAAACACCTTGTAGGCAGACTGGCTGCATCAGGTGCTGCACTGGAAGTCCTGAGAGATGTTTGCTTTGACTATGGAGGTTTCAGTTGCTGACTCATCCCAGATGACTCTGACCTGCATCTCCTCTGGGTAATTTGGACCCTCTGCAACTTTCCTCATTCAGGTTTGTGAGGCGAGGGGATCTTCCCCTACCTAGACCAAAGAGAAAGGCTGACTCTGCACATGCACATGCCACCTGTTCTCCTTTATAAAAAACCTCCCCATACCCATAGTGAGCTCAGCCTATGTGCTGTTCCCTCTTATGCTCTAGCATAATTCTTAAGAAAGCCTCTTCCAGATGATATAGTCATGCCTGTTTGTGATTTCTACGACATGTAGGGCATGCTGAGCTGGTACCAAAAAGCCACTGGCACCAAAAGCTACCAGTAACCCAGGCTGCTAACATTGAAGGTGCCTAGCATCTGAGAACTATGGAAGACAATGAAGAACAGCTGGCAACCACCGCCTCCAGAGACCAAAAGAGCTCCAGAAGCCTTCAGGTAGCTGCTTGCTCCATGAGGCAGAGGGCTGTTAATAACAAAAGCATTAACAGCCACTGGCATTAAAAGTCCAGGGTTGTTAATATTAAAAGAGGGAAATTTTGCCAATTAGTAAACTATGAGAATTGAACAACACTCATCTGATTAGAGAGCCTTGGAAGCCAGTATGGGACCTTCCCCTGACAGGGGCCTAAAAAAGAGGGCAGACAATTGTGACAGCTGTCCACAGGCTCATATCTGCTTTCTACCTTAAGCATGGCTAAGAACTCATACTAGCCAATGACAAAATTTCCAGATGACTGATCCCTATACACCCACATCAGTGATGAGCCCATTTCACAGTGGTCTTCTAGTCAGGACAATATTTATTTTTCCAGGATATAGTATAGCCCATATTTTGCCTAAGAGGGTCCTATCTTTTCATCTTATATGGTTTTAGTTTTGACATAGATAGAAAACATGTTTTTAAATATGTATATATAGTTATTTTCCTTCATTAAAATAAAACACTAAAAATGAAAACTAAAACTAAATAATAACAAAATATCTCAATACTATTAACAGTCTAGTTCTTTATTTCCACACATTTAAAAAAATTCAGCTTGGGCTGGGGATTTAGCTCAGTGGTTCCGTCACCTGCCTCGCAAGCGCAAGGTCCAGAGTTCAATCCCCAGTACCAAAAAACAAAAAAACAAACAAACACAAAAAAATTCAGCTATATAATCAAGCCTGTAATACTCAGACTTGATTTAGATAGGTCTGAATGGTATCATTCTCTTTTCTCCTTAGAATATTTTCCCCTCTAAGTTTCCAGGATCCATGAAAGGCCTTAGAATCCTCTCAGTTGCGTAAAAGCATGGATACATATTGAGGATATACTCCTAAGTGAAATAAATAAGTCACAGATGTGTAAATACCAAATAGTTTCTCTGGTGTGAAAAACTATAATAGTACATAAGATCCTAATGATATAATTGACCATGTGAAATAGGAAGAAAAGGGAAAATGGGAAGGGTAGGGGAAAGGTAATAAGGGAAAAGAAAAAAATATGACAAAATGAAAAAATGGAAATAAAGTGTTTGTAAATGGGAAGGGTAGGAGGGGGTGAAGGGAGGGCAGGGACAAGGGGAAAACATGAGAACCAAGACCTGTCATGTAAATGTACAAGATCCCAATAATGAACGTAACTGTAATGTATACTTTAAATGTACCAATAAACTCAATTAATTTAAAAAAAGATGGAATCTTACATGTGCTTTTTCCTACTCTCTACCCCCAGCTACTCTGCTAAAAATCTTGCAAATACATCCACATCTCTCCTCCACTGCCAAGAAGCCAAATGAGTCTATCACCTTCACTTTAATAAGCCTCCCAACCATTTTCTCTGCTCTATCACTGCCTATCCAGTATGTCTCTAACAACAGTGAAAAACAGTCCCACTGTGCTTTCTTTATTTGAAAATCTTTTGCTTTTAGGATAAAGTCTGAGCTCAGCTCCAGAACATTCTGTCTTGTCTTCTTCATTCATCTCTTCTCATTCCTAAGATCCCAGTTTAAAATTCACTTCCTCAAGGGTCAGGGATTTAGGTCAGTGGTTCTGATGCCTGCCTCACAAGCACAAGGGCCTGAGTTTGATCTGCAGTACCGAAAAATTTTTTAAAAATAAAATTTACTTCCTCAGGGAAACATCTCTCAACATCTAGTAGATTAGATATACTGTTCCTATTATATACTTCACCTAATTAATCATTCACCTAAGACATATTTAGTACTTTCTATATTTTCAGACACTGAGTTAGGTATTGATAATTAAATGGTATGTGATTGCTGCTCATAGAACTTACAAAATATTGAAAGAAGGATATAAAGAAAATAATCACCCAAATAAATATAAAATTGCCACGTTCATAAAAACAAGAAACAATGTGAAAACAGTAAAACGTGCAAAGGAATGAACTTACTAACTTTGGGAATGGAAAGATCAATATGGCTGGAGAACAGTGAGTGAGAAGGGTGTCATTTTACCCTCATTTCATGATTCATCTTCCTGTAAAACTGAATTAGAACCCCTTGATAAGAAATGGACATACAGAAGATGCTTGATAAAGAATGAATGAATAAATGAACACATGCAAAGGTCTGAGTTGTTTTAAGCTTAGTGGAAACTATGTATATTACCATATTCTGTTTGGTTAAAGAATGTATAATATATATTTTTTCATATAATCATTTATTATTATTATTTATTATTTGGGGGGTTACCATGGATCGAACTTGGGTCCTTGTGCTTGCAAAGCAGCCAGCAGAACCACTGAGCTAAATCCCTGGCCCTATATAATCATTTTAAAAAATAAAAATCTTTAACGATATTAGGTCATACATACCTATTATTAGATATTAGATCATTCATATACTAATACACCCATTTAGCACATATTTATGGAGACTTTATTAGGTGCCACATATTGTTATAGGATGAGGATAGAGCAGTATATAAAACAAAGTCCCAGTCCCAGTCCCAGTGAAACCATCATTTTAGTGAGGGAGGTATCCAAACAGACAGACAAATCAAACATTGATACATGTTATGAAGAAACTACAAGTATATACCTCACTATAGAAAATTACTGCATTCCTGCTTTGTACATTCAGATCAAACAGTATGAAATGTTTCAAAAATACCTTTATTTCCTGGGTTTCAGATAGCAAAGAATTTATCAAACAATATCCTTGAACATCCTTGGTTCCCTACATCAGGTGGTGAAGAATACTTATACAGTTGGGAAGGAGAATGGTGGAAGAAATTATTTTAGAAAGGATGATCAGAGCCCTGGATGAAGTGAGAAGACAACTGATGACAGACATCCAAAGGAAAATATTCCAGCTAGAAGCCCTAAGTGAAAGGGTCCTAAGATGGGGATAAGGCACATTCAAGGAATAGCTAAGAAATCCACATACCCTTTCTAAAATAGCACCCCATAACCATCAGTCTCTCTTTTTCCCTGCATTGTTTTTCTTCAAAACAAGTATCACTATGTGACACTACATATTGGCTTGTCTTTTAGGAACCCTATAATATTTTGCAAATACATGTACTTAATACTGATATAATTGCATATATTATGAGATCAGTGAAATGATGAACATATATTAGTTTACAATATAGGGTTCTTTAGTCTGAAAAACTGTTACCCCAAGGTTACCCAATGGACACCATCTATGAAATTATCGCCAAAAAAAGATAAAGAACTTTTCATTTTCTATCTTCAGCACTGAAACTGGCTGTACTGGCAGACTGACAATTTCTTTGTTTTAGAGAACACCAAGTGACTAGTGCCAACAATTTGTCTTTGTTTTCCCTGGCATTTAATCATATTTCTCAAGTTACCTCCAATTTCTCATCTCAGAGAACTAAGGTTCCAAGGAACCAAAAATAGTTCACTGTTACAGCAATTTATTTCAAATGGCTCTTAAATTGAGTTTAAACTATCTGAAAAAAGAACCTGGCCCAACAATGTCATCATATATAGTAGGCATTCCATAAAGCCTTGCTGATTTGAACTGAGATGAACTAAAGTCAGTATCTAAGCTGCAATTTTAAGGCATTCAGTAACACCAACACTGAAATGCTACAAAGAAGTTCTAGTTCTCCTGTAAAAGAGACACCAAAAGTGTTCATTTTAGAATAATTCAGGGATTTTCAAGATACTATTCAATGTTTGTTTACTTGTATAAATTATGTTTCACTGAGTATATACAAATACACTCAAGAATCTCACTGAGTAAAACCCAGAGGTGAATCCAGAATTTGTATAGTCAGAAGCACATACAATTTGAGTAGTCCACTCTAAGAATAAATATACAGAATTATGAATGCAAAATTAGGTAGAAAAGTTAATATTGATATCCCCTGATTTATGATATGGCTATATTCCCACTATAAATTGAAAAAAGCATGACTCAAATATGCATTTCACCACTCTTGGAAGCTGAGGCCAGAGAACTGTAAGTTCAAACACAGCCTGGGAAACTTAGTGATATAGTGAGGGCTGGGGGTGTAGCTTGGTGCAAAAAGGTCTTAAGTCTACCATTAAGCACAAACTGTATTTATTTAGAATGTTAAAACACACACACACACACACACACACACACACACACACACACCATAAAATGTGAGAGCTTTAGAGATTCAAGTTCCCT